CTCATTTTCCTCTCGATGTATTACCTCCGTTTCCGACCAAAACACCCTACAATTGTTGCACTCAGACACGTGCTTGGCGATCTCCGAGTTCGGTGCCCCGTTTTTTACATTTCTTTTATGCTCGGTCAGTCTGTCATTCACGCACCGCGAAGTTTGCCCCACATATCTAAAACCACATGCTAAGGGTATCTCATAGACTACACCTCCTTTGCAAGCCACTGACCTGTCCTGATGTTGCCTTCTGCATTCCTTTGGAGGTGCAAAGAACGGAGTCATCCTGTTTAATTTGTAATCAAATGAAAACACTACGTCAACTCCAAATCTGTGAGCACTCGCTTTAAGGTTATGCGAAACACTGTGGTAGTACGGGACTACGGCAACCTTTTTACTTCTTTCTCCCGTTGCTCCATTTCTCTCGCCGAAACTTGGGGAGAGCTGCCTCGTGATGAAAACTTTATCATAACCCGCATCCTCTAACCTCACCCACTGCCTTTTGAGGGCTTGGCCTACATAATGAAGACATGACTTCTTTAGAGCGTTTCCGATTATTGATTTGACCACCCCAGCTTTCACAGTCTTTGAATGGCAGCTTCTTCTACTTAAAACTGGCTTTGCCGATTCTTTTCCGTACTCCCAGCACACTCCTTCTTGCACGTGAATACGTAAATCTAAAAACTGCAAAACTCCTCTGTCTGGCCCTTCAACAGTAAAGGTAAGTTCCGGTGCTGAGGCTCTCACCAGACTCTCTATTGCTCCCGTATCCTTCCCATGAAAGCTCATGACCACAATGTCATCAACATATCTTCTCACTAAAACTTCACCCGACCCCCAAACTGCCAGCCTTTCCGAGATCGCGTTATCCAAAGAGTTTAAATAAATTTCTGCCAAAATAGGTGCCATCACAGACCCAATACACACACCCTTCTTTTGAATCCACATGCGTTCCTTGAACTCCACTACCGTGGCTTTAAGATAAAGATCCAGGATCGCTAAAAAACTATCTACCGGAATCCCCGTACCTGATTGAAATTTTACCAAATTACGCTCCAAAGCCTCTCAACCCTACTCATCAACAGCTGTTTTTCAAGAGAATAGTACAGATCTTTAATGTCCATCGAGATCACCGAGCATTGCCTCCCATGGTGAGCATCTAAAATCTGAACAAAATCGTCTGAGTTTCTTAACGAAAGACTGTTTTCCAATCTAGCGAAGTCTAAACCTTTTTGAAGAAACTTCGAAACCATGCTCTGCCACGTTCCGTTCTCATTAATAACCGTGCGGAACGGCATTTCCGGCTTGTGGTCCTTTAAGAAGAATTTTAAACTTAAAGTGCTTCTCGGCTGATTCAGGACTTTCCTGGCTAAGGTCTCTAAACCCTCGTCTTTAAGTGTAGCTGAGATGTCCTTCCTTAATTTTCCCAACTTGCCTTGCCATGCCATGAATACCGAGTCCAATGCCTCTGTTGACTTTTTTTCAAAAACCGCCAATGGAAGGACGGCAAGGACGACGTGGCAGAGCATGGTTTCGAAGTTTCTTCAAAAAGGTTTAGACTTCGCTAGATTGGAAAACAGTCTTTCGTTAAGAAACTCAGATGATTTTGTTCAGATTTTAGATGCTCACCATGGGAGGCAATGCTCGGTGAACTCGATGGACATTAAAATCTGTACTATTCTCTTGAAAAACAGCTGTTGATGAGTAGGGTTAGAGAGGCTTTGGAGCGTAATTTGGTAAAATTTCAATCAGGTACGGGGATTCCGGTAGATAGTTTTTTAGCGATCCTGGATCTTTATCTTAAAGCCACGGTAGTGGAGTTCAAGGAACGCATGTGGATTCAAAAGAAGGGTGTGTGTATTGGGTCTGTGGTGGCACCTATTTTGGCAGAAATTTATTTAAACTCTTTGGATAACGCGATCTTGGAGAGGCTGGCAGTTTGGGGGTCGGGTGAAGTTTTAGTGAGAAGGTATGTTGATGACATTGTGGTCATGAGCTTTCATGGGAAGGATACGGGAGCAATAGAGAGTCTGGTGAGAGCCTCAGCACCGGAACTTGCCTTTACTGTTGAAGGGCCAGACAGAGGAGTTTTGCAGTTTTTAGATTTACATATTCACGTGCAAGAAGGAGTGTGCTGGGAGTACGGAAAAGAATCGGCAAAGCCAGTTTTAAGTAGAAGAAGCTGCCATTCAAAGACTGTGAAGGCTGGGGTGGTCAAATCAATAATCGGAAACGCTCTAAAGAAGTCATGTCTTCATTATGTAGGCCAAGCCCTCAAAAGGCAGTGGGTGAGGTTAGAGGATGCGGGTTATGACAAAGTTTTCATCACGAGGCAGCTCTCCCCAAGTTTCGGCGAGAGAAATGAAACAACGGGAGAAAGAAGTAAAAAGGTTGCCGTAGTCCCGTACTACCACAGTGTTTCGCATAACCTTAAAGCGAGTGCTCACAGATTTGGAGTTGACGTAGTGCTTTCATTTGATTACAAATTAACCAGGATGACTCCGTTCTTTGCACCTCCAAAGGAATGCAGAAGGCAACATCAGGACAGGTCAGTGGCTTGCAAAGGAGGTGTAGTCTATGAGATACCCTTAGCATGTGGTTTTAGATATGTGGGGCAAACTTCGCGGTGCGTGAATGACAGACTGACCGAGCATAAAAGAAATGTAAAAAACGGGGCACCGAACTCGGAGATCGCCAAGCACGTGTCTGAGTGCAACAATTGTAGGGTGTTTTGGTCGGAAACGGAGGTAATACATCGAGAGGAAAATGAGATAAAAACGGTAGTGAAGGAAACAGTCCGAATTAAGTCGATGGGAAATTGTATTAGCCAGCCATCAATGCATCTAGGAGAAATCTCAAGAAAATTCCTCAAGATGTAAACCCCCTTTTTTTTTTTAGCTATTTAGCACTTTGTGCGCTGCCTACAAAGGTGCAGTACAGGTGCAGGTCATATTGTTTGTTCTGGTATTCCTTGTTACTTCTTTCAAGTGTGTAGTTGAGGTTGGAACTTTTGCATTCTCCCCTTTGTGTATTTTGGTTCATGGTTACCCTCTTCCGCTTTCCTTCAATGTGAAGTGCGGGTTAGAATGACCAATTGCCGTTTTTTTTTTTCTTTTTTTCTTTTTTTTTTTACGGTGACTAAGTACCGGTTAGTTCAATGGTTTGTTGCTTGGCTTTGTGTAATTAGGTCTTGTATGCCCTCTTTCCCTTTGGTTCCGTGGGTTTGCGGGTTTGAAAAAAACCTTTTAACGGTTCTTTGTTGACTTTGTGTAGTCGGAGGCTTATCTTGTCCTTTTGTCTGGCTGAAAGATTTTTCTTTTGTAATGTTTTGGGCCTATGTTTGGCTTAGTGTATTCCGGGTGTTATGTTGTCATTGGTCGACTTGGTTGGTGGTGTGTGGACGTGGTGTGTATAAAAGTGCATACGATGGAATAAAATCCTTAGCTGTGTTTGAGACGTCGCCTCCTTGCGGCCTCTTTTTCTTCTTGTCCCTTTTCCGAAAGACCCCAGTCTCGGGTTAAACAAAACTACAGTTTGAAGACACAGACGGGTTTCGAAGTAACGCGGGCGGCTCGATCAGTGCCACCTAGTAGACGAGGAATGCTCATGACGACATCATTAGTAGACCCTAATCCCGCCCCGAGCGTCAAAAATGTTAAAGTTCGACGAGAGTCGCGGTGCAAAGTGGCAGGCGCGTGCATGTGCCACTTTGCAACGCCTGTTAGCGACGCGTGCTATCGCCGTGCTTGCAGCGTGCGCCGAAAGGTGAGGTGGCGGCAGCACTGATCCTGGCGTGAGGATTCTGGGCGGCGTAGACCAGAATGTCAGTGTGGAATCTGTACTTTATGCGGCATTCAGACGAGGGAGAATCCGTACTTCACCTTACGGAGTGTACATCACGTGACGCTGACAGCAGGTCTTTCTTGAGGAGGCACAGCGAGGTCTAGATTCGCTGGCTCCACGTCTGAGGCGCAAAGGAAATGCTCGGACGGTGCAAACAAACACTCCTGGCGGAGCTGCGGCAAGGGATCGGGGGTGGGGAGACACCTAGTGGGCTGACGTCACGCAGCTTCGTCCGGAAGTGTCTCCTTCGTGTGAACGCCGCATTTCGCTCCGGTTTCTTGTCGCAGTTTATAAAATCAGTCGTGTTGTTGCAGCGCACAAACCTTTATTCCTACCGATTGTTTACCCGTTTAGGAATTCACATCAGGGAGAGCGTTGCAGCATTTCTCCTGTTTTTATTCGCTGGCGCATAAGCCTATATTCTATTCGTATTTGTTTAATTAAAAATAATCGATTTTTAGGTCAGGTGTAGCTGTCTCAAACACTTATCAAAACGTTTTCTCGTCTTTAAAATACCTCAGCTTAAGAAATGGCAGGTGTAAAAATCTTCCGAGGCGCTGAATTCCCCGGACCGTCTGTCTTTCTTTTCTCACTCAAACAGCCAAAGCCAAAGCCATGTTACAATACTTTAAGCACAATGTGACCCTTATCCCACCATGCGACCTTTATCCTTTTGCGCCTGGCGATGGCGAGGTCGTCCAAAGAGGCCAACCCTGCATACCTTCGGCTTGCAGCTTCCTTTTCTTCTACGAGGGAGGCGAAGTGGCAGTTGGCGCGCTTTGTCCGAGGAACACGATTTCTGACGCGAAGATGCGCTCTGATAGGAAACCAAAACACGCAAACTCGTCCAAGTTTAGTTTTATTTTTTTTCTTCTGAATGCCATAAAATGCGGCGCGTGTTTTTGATCATTGTCTACTGCACGGATTAAGCGGATTTTGTGGTGCACAAATGCTTGTAACTAAATGCAAAATCTCTAAAATTACGGATCAAGATGCTAATTATTTACACCTAACTATATAATTTTCTGCGTGACGCGTAGCTGTCGAAAGAAAGCTTTTGTTGACGAATCTTGAAAGACCCTCTTGTTTTTTGGTATTCATCCACGTCATTGTGCATGTTTATGTGCGATATTTATCTGAAAGAAAACAAAAAAAAACATACTCACCCTAATTAATTCCGCGAATGGTACAAGAAGCGCCATTGGAGCACGAAAATGCCCGAGGTAGACAGCGGGTGCCATTGCACTGAACAAGCTAATCTGAAAAAGAAATATAAATATTAAAAATGACTTATGCTCTGATTTGACGAGCAGCCCAAGCTGCAACGTTCCAATTTTTTCCCCAAGCCTAGCGTCGGCGTTTGCTCTGTTTTATTTATACAGAGTCGTGGCCAGCGAAATAATTTGTCACCCTATTTGGTATCTAGTGAAATTACCTTATGGCACGAGCAGGCTCCGTTCCCTCCAGAAGCGCTGGTGATAATCTTTCTCGCCTAACCGGACGTTACTCTATCATCAACATCTGAAGCGAGGGATCCGGGTTTTTCTTTTTTTTTTCTAATTTCTGTAACAATGATGCACTTCATTCACTAGTTCATAAGCTGCCTACACAACATCGCAACTTTGTTTATGACCGTTTGACATTCGCTGTTTAACAAGAATATTCTGTCCTCTTATATATGTCTATATAATTAGTTTTGTATTATTTATGGTACTGTATTATGTTCGGTGCCTGCGGAAACACCGAACCCAGTCAAGCTTGAAGCTTTTCGTTGTTTCCTTAACACAAATTCGATTGGCAAAATTAACTGTTTTTCTTATCTTACCGTTACAGCGTAAAGGGAAAAACAAGCAAGTGTATGTGTTTGCGAAGCAGTAGTCACTTTCATTATACATGTCATTACATGCTCCTTAGAAAGTGGTGATTCTGCTAGCGCTTCTGGGTCACGCGCTACGTCAGCGGTGACCTGATTCAAATTCGCCGACTACTTTTTAACAAATATTATTCGTTTTCGATGACTCCACTAAAGAAGCTGTATTCACAAAGCTGCTTATGGGGTAAGGTGCTTAAGTCCTGCCAGTTGGACGTAATCTGTACGGGTGGTTTGATCTCAGATCGGACAGGCTAGAAGTATATAATTTTTCATTTTGACGGAAAAAAATATATGTTTTGGGGGAATTTCTCAAATGAAGGAGGCCAGAAACCTCATGTTAATCAGATTTTTTGTTCTCATGTTACGAAGCGTAGAAGCCGCAGTGGCAGAAACTAGTGTATTTGCCCGCCGTCACAGGTCGCGTGTTTGACACCCTCTGCTGGCGATAATGGTTTTTCTATACCTTTTAAACTTTTTCTCCTCATTTACTAGGTACAATAAAAATACCTTGACGTATTCAATTATTTTTTTAGAAATTGTATTGCTTTCTAAAAAGAATTTTCAAACTCGTTACTCAGGTCGATTTTTGATGAAATTTCACAGGTCATTACTTTGTCTGGACTTTAGGTAAATTTTCTTTCTTTGGCTTTACAGAAAGCCCAAAGAAAGTCCATCATAGATATATTAATATCATTATGATCTGTTGACTAGTTGACGTTGTAAGAAATACTGCCTATTTTCACGCAGCTCGTTTATATTTCGCACGGTGCTCCAAGGCACTTCAAAAAGCAGGCACCAGGTGTATGAATTCAAAATAAGGAATATCGTCGCCAAGTGGATATTCTCCGCATCAGGGCACGGGAAAACCTCGTGTGATGGAGTGGGCGGCGTGCTCAAGCATCAGGCATCCATGCGTGACTTGAAAACTACAGAATTGTACTCCGTAATGAACGCGAAAAGCTTCGTTGAGGCACTCAGACCGAAAGTCAAAGGGATTGTTCTACTCTCAATCGCCAAATAGAAGCTCACGCGTTTCCGGGAGCTCAAGAAAAAAGGGTGGGAGAAGGTAAACCTACCAAAAGGCATCCGATCCTCACACGTGTGGAGGAAGACACTGGAGGAAGGCGCCTTGAACGTTGCCCTAGAAAAGATCTGCGAAAGCACGAAGTAGCTGCATACACGTGTCAAGGGATGCACGTACCACTCTGTGTCCCGAAATTTAGAACATCATCAGTGAGTGCGTGTCGGCATGTCCAAACCGCAACTGTGAACTCCGTGGCTCTTACACAGTGTGAAAACTGATTCACAGTTACGTCAAACTAGTAAAAAAAAAATATACTGACTTCGTTAATTGTGTCATTGATGTTTTTGTGTTTTTTGCTGGTTCTGCGCACGCGTTTCTACATTGCTGAGATGCACGAACTGTGTAGTCAACCGTCGGCGATCAGCAAGATGTGAGGATAACGAAATTCGGCGCATATTTTCCGAAGATTTATGTACAAGATTATAATAATGTGAATGATGTGAGAATGTATCATTCGATCGTAATAGGCTGAGTAATGAGTAGCCACCCTCGTTTACTTTGAACCGTTCTATATAGAAACAATTTTAGTCATGTTGCGTTGCCTTTTGATTTGTATATACTTGTTACTTATTGTTTTGTAGTGTGCTTATGTGGTTTCTATTTTATTTCAAGTTTTAAATTACAATGAATATCACAAGTTCGCCTACTTTACGTTTCTTTTTGAAAACGTAAACAAAAATAAATACGTATTTTCCAAATCGTAGAGGCGCACACTGCCGGTTTGCGGTTTTTCTTTTTTTAAGTTTGAGATCGACTTTTTGAAAAAACCCAGTTTTGTAAATTTTATTTTTTTAATTCTTTTAGATATAATAGTCGACTACAAGAAAAATCAATGTAGAAATGTAATATATTGTATGTTCTTTATTTCAGCCGCAATCGCGTGAAATGTGTGCTTATTTTAGTCAAATGAGCACACATTTCACGCGATTGCGGCTCAAATAGAGAAAATACAACCAAAATGTTACAGTTCTAATTTGTTTTTTTCTTGAGTCGACTAATATATCTAAAATAATTTTAAAAAATGAAAATTTTAAAAAATGGGGTTTTTGAGAAAATCGATTTCAAAATTTCAACATTTATTATTTCTTACAACGTTTACGTGAAGGTAGCGGAGCGGCTAATGAGCAGATCATAATGACAATATTACATCTATAATGGGATTGCTTTGGGCTTTCTATAGAGCGATAGAAAGGAACTTTACGTTAAGTGCAGACAAAGTAATGACCTGTCAAATTTGACCAAAAATCGACCTGAGTGACGAGTTCGACATTTTTGTTAGAAACGAATACAAATTCTACAACTATTTGAATACGTCAAGGTATCTTTATAGTATTTAATAAATGAGGGGGAAAGATAAAAGGTTGTAAAAGAAACACTAGTGCAAGCAGAGCGTGTCAAACACGTGACCTGCGACAGCAGGCAAAACCACTAGTTTCTGCCACTGCGGCTTGTACGCTTCGTAACTTGAGAACAAAAAAATCTTGGGAACATGCGGTTTGCGCCCTCATTTATTTGGGAAATGCCCCCAAAACATGTATTTTCGTCAAAATTAAAAACTAGATCCTTTTAGTCTGCCCGATTTCAGATAAAAGCACCCATACATTCTCGTCGAGTCCCATAAAACTTAGTTTTGTAGGCTCTTTCTAAACAGATCTAAATATTTGCTCGTGATAGGTATAAATGCCTATTTACCAATTAATATTGTCTAAATAGTAGCCAACAAAAATGATTGGTGTTTTTTACTTTCTTAAAACCATCCAACCATAATATTTGCACGAAAAATAATCGGACATAAGCTTATCAATATGTGTCTCCTTCCAAAATGAAAGCATCTATATCGAGTCGCCCCACCCCCTGCATTATTACGCTGGTGTGAATTTTTGATTTATTATGTAAAACCTACGGCTTTTACAGTGCCCGCTGAATTCACAAATATGTATATAAGTAGTTAAGAGAGTTCGCATAGCTTAAATCCTTATGTGTACTGTACTCGCCAGGTCAAAAGGTACCATCCCGATCGAAAAGACCATCAGGTTTTCCTGATGGACCATCAGAGCTTTTTGATGGTCCATCAGACTTTTCTGACGGTCCATCAGGTTTCCTGATGGACCATCAAAGAAGTCTGATGGACCATCAGCCCACTCCTGATGGACCATCAGCCCACTCCTGGTGGACCATCAGCCCATTCCTGACGGACCATCTGACTTTCCTGATGGACCATTAGACTTCTTTAATGGCCCATCAGGCTTCCTGATGGACCATGAAGAAAGTGTGATGGACCATCAAGAAAGTCTGATGGACCATCAGTCCATTCCTGACGCACCATCCGACTGTCCTGATGGACCATCAGATGCGTTTAGATGGTCCGTCAGAAGTTCCTGACAGCGCCTAATGGTCTGTTGGACACTCTTGATGGGCCGTCAGAGTTGGTCTAATGCTCGTCAGAAGTTTTATGTTTCACTTCGGTTCCATCAAAAGCGCCTTATTTCCCGGCCGTCGGGGCTTTCTTTGCGCACAATGTTTATCAAAAGTGCGTGATTAATTGTTGCTCGCGGTATTCTGACGGCGCCGTCAGAGGCGTTTAATAACAATTGGTATACGGGTCGCGACATATTTGCCAGCATGTGATGAGTCGCGGGCTCGCGAGGTGCTGACATAACTCTGTCACGCGATTTGTCTTTACTCACTGAGTCCCCGATTCACCGGCAACTGTGCGTTCGTCTGCAATCACGCACCGTGGAAACCCGTACTTACGGTAGGGTCCATCGTTTCGCATATGCTTCATCTACGCCTTTCATTACCAACGGAAGCTCGACAGACTTTTCGTCGACACATTAATTTTTATAGACACGGCACCCCCCGAGCGCCGCAATCGTTGTGCGCATCGGATGGTCGCGGCGGCAATTAAGCTCAGCTTCCAAACAGACCGCGCGGCCATTGCTTTGCTTTACTTTGCTCGAAGGTTAATTAGTCGGGGGAATGCGCCACCGCCTCGCTGAATAAGCAGCCCAAAGTCGAGGAGGCTCCGCAACATTGCTCGCTACAAAATAGGCGATTTGAGGCTATGTCGCGATAAAAAAAAATCTGTCGTTGAATCTCGCGTATGATATTTGATAGGCCGCAGCCGCGTGGTCAATGGGTTGATGTGATTTTTTTTTTATTAAGGAAAAGCCTTATATGTCTCGTCGTTCAGACGACCTTCAAAGTTCTTGAGCGAAAACACGTCGAGTCACGAAAGGTACTAAAACCGGCGACACGAAAGGTAGAAGAACCCGCGTTATTCAGTATTCAGCTGCACCGGA